TACCTCTGATACCATATAGATAGGCTAAGATAATTCTTCATTATTACCATAAATAAACAATACATTTCTAGTTTGGTTAAAAAATGTAATTAGTTATTTATTTATTAACACTTACTCCCTAGTAATGGTTACAGATAATAGTAAAAGTACTAGTATACAGTATTAATACACTAATAAGGAAGGAATAAAAATAAATTAATCTACAAAAACAGAATATTAATAGAAAAAACAATAAAACAACTCCTTCTAAAAGAAAGATGCATATTAATCCCGTATTTGTTGTCTAATTTAATGTAATAAAGGTATAAATTTGAATTATAAATGTTTAATATTGATAAAATCATTCAAGGAATTGTTTTCTAATTGTTATTGCTGTTTAAATATAGTCAATTAGTTTCATTAGTAATAGTTTTTTGTTTGTGTTGACTATATGAATAAACTTCTGAATTTTATTGAGGTTTTTTTTCTTACTGATTTGGCTATGTTACATGTAGTATTTTATGATGACAACATTTGCAAGTTATCAACTCTTGGGAAATTTAAGTGCTTGCTAGGCTTCATTGTCAATTGCTTGGGAAAATTTATTGATTTTATTTCTATTGATTTATTGTATGTTTTTTTCATTCATACTAAATTTTGTATTAAATAAAATAAAATAAAATTCCATGTTGGCTGTATATCGACATGTTTGTTCACTTGTCAATATCTGACTGGCATATACAAAATGTGACCAAAAAACAACAAAGATAAATTTATGCACATTTTACAATGTCTACTCAGGTTATTAAATTACATACAGAAAGCCTACAAAATAAGAAAAGTAAAGGTGAAAATAAATTAATGTATTGTTGTGCTATATTTTCTGTGTGATTTAGTTGTTGTTTATTTTAAAAAGCTTTAATACAGCAAATACCAAAATTGAAATGTCAGATTTCATTTAGGATGTAATAAAGCATTATTCTATTCTATTCTATTCTATTCTATTCTATTCTATTCTATTCTATTCTATTCTATTCTATTCTATTAAAATATCTTTTGCATAATTTATAAAAACTCAATAGTCTACATTAAAGATGTAATAAAGCATTATTCTATTCTATTCTATTCTATTCTATTCTATTCTATTCTATTCTATTCTATTCTATTCTATTAAAATGTCTTTTGCATAATTTATAAAAACTCAATAGTCTACATTAAAGATGTAATAAAGCATTATTCTATTCTATTCTATTCTATTCTATTCTATTCTATTCTATTCTATTCTATTCTATTCTATTCTATTCTATTCTATTCTATTAAAATGTCTTTTGCATAATTTATAAAAACTCAATAGTCTACATTAAAGATGTAATAAAGCATTATTCTATTCTATTCTATTCTATTCTATTCTATTCTATTCTATTCTATTCTATTCTATTCTATTCTATTCTATTAAAATGTCTTTTGCATAATTTATAAAAACTCAATAGTCTACATTAAAGATGTAATAAAGCATTATTCTATTCTATTCTATTCTATTCTATTCTATTCTATTCTATTCTATTCTATTCTATTCTATTCTATTCTATTCTATTCTATTCTATTAAATGTCTTTTGCATAATTTATAAACAACTCAATAGTCTACATTAGAGATGTAATATAGCA